CAGGGTGTCTGAATTATAGCAGTCCATGTCCGTGTTACCTTTTACACAAATTACTTACACTGGTTTCTTTTTCCATGCAAATTCATCAGTTTTACAGCCTCTTGTCTCTGCTGTCAGGAAACTCTAGCAGACAGCACAAATTGATAAAATGAGTTAATTTTACAATGGTTGGTTTTTTTTAAAGTTTCATTCACCCGTTGCACAGGAAGCATATTGTAGTTAAAGGAAGACAGCAAATGAGTTTAGAGTGTTCTTGTCAATTATTTCCCAAGTTAATTTCTTCCAAAGATCATTAAAGGCTGGCTCCCATTTTAATATCATTGCACTCCTTCCATCCTGTGCTTTTAAAAATGCATTGCTATCAATGCATCTCAGTTCAGTGGCTGTCCTTAAACCACGGCTGAGAGTACGCCATAGTTTACATGAGAACTATATAAGTAAGCTGTGTGAGGATTTTGTTCTTTGTATTGCCCATTATTCTTGTACTTCAGCTGCAGTCTGTAAAACACTAAGTACATAGTTGCTCCTCAGCTGAAGATTGCAGTTTAGCATATTGCATACTCCAGTGTTTCCCAACCGGTGTTCCGCGGCACACCAGTGTGCCGTGAGACCTTGCCTGGTGTGCCGTGGGAGGGAGGCGGGAGAGGCGGGGCGGCGGCGGCATCTCCTGCTGGATGCAAATCCAAACATTGCGGGCGGCAGCCTGCAGCGCGGAGCGCGGGGCGCCCTTTGGAGGACGCCCCGTGCTTCGCGCAGCTGTCCGCAAGCCTTGGGCGCCTGGGGGAACTCCCCCCCCGGCGCGCAAGGCTTGCGGGCGGCAGCCTGCAGCGCGGAGCGCGGGGCGCCCTTTGGAGGACGCCCCGTGCTTCGCGCAGCTGTCCGCAAGCCTTGGGCGCCTGGGGGAACTCCCCCCCCCCCCGGCGCGCAAGGCTTGCGGGCGGCAGCCTGCAGCGCGGGGCGCCCTTTGGAGGACGCCCCGTGCTTCGCGCAGCTGTCCGCAAGCCTTGGGCGCCTGGGGGAACTCCCCCCCGGCGCGCAAGGCTTGCGGGCGGCAGCCTGCAGCGCGGAGCGCGGGGCGCCCTTTGGAGGACGCCCCGTGCTTCGCGCAGCTGTCCGCAAGCCTTGGGCGCCTGGGGGAACTCCCCCCCCGCGCGCGCAAGGCTTGCGGGCGGCAGCCTGGAGCGCGGGGCGCCCTTTGGAGGACGCCCCGTGCTTCGCGCAGCTGTCCGCAAGCCTTGGGCGCCTGGGGGAACTCCCCTCCCCCGGCGCGCAAGACTTGCGGCGGCAGCCTGCAGCACGGAGCACGGGGCGCCCTTTGGAGGACGCCCCGTGCTTCGTGCAGCTGTCCGCAAGCCTTGCGCGCCCAGGGGAACTCCCCCCCGCGTGCATGGCTTGCGGGCGGCAGCCAGCAGCGCGGAGCACGGGGCGCCCTCCGTAGGAGGCTGCAGAGGGTGGCGCGGAGCTGCCCGCGCTCCAGGGCTTCTTGCAGCTCCGCGCCACCCCCGGATCCCGGTGCGAAGCCGCGCGGGGCTGCGGAGGGTGGCACGGAGCTGCCTGCGCTCCAGGGCTTCTTGCAGCTCCGCGCCACCCCCCGGATCCCGGCGCGAAGCCGCGCGGGGCTGCGGAGGGTGGTGCGGAGCTGCCTGCGCTCCAGGGCTTCTTGCAGCTCCGCGCCACCCCCCGGATCCTGGCGCGAAGCCGCGCGGGGCTCCGGAGGGTGGCGCGGAGCTACCTGGGCTCCAGGGCTTCCTGCAGCTCTGCACCACCCTCTGGATCCTGGCGCGAAGCCGCGCGGGGCTCCGGAGGGTGGTGCGAAGCTGCCTGCGCTCCAGGGCTTCTTGCAGCTCCGCGCCACCCCCCGGATCCCAGCGCGAAGCCGCACGGGGCTCTGGAGGGTAGCGCAGAGCTGCCTGCATCCCGAAGCCTGGTGCGCGCTGAAGAGCGCCCCCGGGCTTCACGCACCTCTCCGCAAGCCTGGGGAGACCAGTGTGGCTCCCTAGGCTTGCGGATATCAGGCTGTTCTGGGGGCTGGGGTCGGGGGAAGCTTGGGCTTCCCCCGCGCCTGCCCCGTGCCTGGGGAGGGGAAATTTTTTTTTCTTTATTCTCCCCCCAAAAAATTAGGTGCGTCTTATGGGGCGGTGCGTCCTATGGGGCGAAAAATATGGTAGTCAATATAGGCACAGAGTTAAATTTTTTAACATTTTCTAATGGTGGTGTGCCTCGAGATTTTTTTCATGAAACAAGTGTGCCTTTGCCCAAAAAAGGTTGGGAAACACTGGCATACTCTACATGTGGAAAGCTCTCAGTTGATAAATGCTGGAAAGCACCTCTGCCCAAGACCCCAGAAAGCCTCTGCCAGTAAACACTGTCAACTGGGCTGGATGGACTTGCTATAAGGCAATGTTATGTTTATAGCACCACTTTAATCCTAGCACTGCAAACAGACATTTGTGCATATGCAGCTAAAGTGGCATTGCACAGAGGCGGTGGTTGGCAACCTGATGTCCTCCAACTATACTGTTCTGTAACTCCCATCAGCCCAGCCCATGTGGCCATTCAGCAGGGATGATGGGAATTGAGGTTCAGAACATCAACAGGACACCAGGTTTCCTGCCCCGGTCACAGTTGTACAGGAGGCAACCCGTCAGGGCTGTCTTTACCCAGGGGTGCAAGGGGTGTGGGGCACCCAGGCACCGGATTCTGGGGGGCACCAAATGTACTCTGGGGGGGCACCAAGTGTATACCTACTGTCCCTCTTGATCGGCGGTAGTGAAAAGCAATGGAGAGAAAGTCCCCCCCCCTTTGCTCTGTTACTCCATAGTGTCAAATATTCCCAATGAGCCAGGAAAGAAAAGCAGTTACAGTGGTACCTCGGGTTACATACGCTTCAGGTTACAGACTCCGCTAACCCAAAAATAGTGCCTCAGGTTAAGAACTTTGCTTCAGGTTGAGAACAGAAATGGTGTTCCGGCGGTGCAGCGGCAGCAGGAGGCCCCATTAGCTAAAGTGGTGCTTCAGGTTAAGAACAGTTTCAGGTTAAGAATGGACCTCCGGAACGAATTAAGTACTTAACTCGAGGTACCACTGTATTTCCGCTGTGTCGTTGTTACAGGTGAGCAATTTTCCTCCCCCCCCCCAAAAAAAGTCAACAACTTTGGCTTCCCCACTCCCAGAAAAAGTTCAACAACTTTGAGTTTGCCGCCCCTACAAAAATTGGGAACAACTAAACTAAATTTGGGGGCGCTAGGTGGATCTTTGCACGCCAGTGGTGCATATGCTAAAGACAGTCCTCCAACCAGTTTTTCTCAGTTAGCTACAGAGACAGCCCTTGTTGGCCATGGACACGCTAAAGGAACATGTAAATCAACCTTGATTGCTTACCACTTGCTGAATGTATTAGATGTATGAGAATTGTAGTACATTGATATTTCACATATGCAAATCATTTATGCAGGCAATGAGTTGCTTCATACACAGTGTCAAACCATCGGTTTGGCTATTCTTAGGCTTGCTTGCATGCTTCCTCCACCTGATTCAAACCCTGATTTCCTTGTTTGGCAGACCTTAGGTCATTGTTAGATCCAAATTAGCAAACTATAGTTTCCACTTGCCCTTGAAACCAGAATTTGGAATCTGGCTTAGATCTAATGCCCTAACTATGGTTTGGCTATTACACCCAACATGACTTGCCTCCGTTCAGTGGCCCAAGACATTTTGCACGCTGGGTAAACAAGTATATGGCACCCACTCACACCCATTGGTGACTTGATGGGCTTGAGCCAATCATTGCATCTTACCCTAACCTAACTCACTGGTAGCGAAGATAAAAACGGGGAGATTGCACACATTGCATTTAACTCCTGGAGGAAATGGAGATTTAAATAAAATAACACTTTGAAAACTGATATGTGGTCTGCTGTCATGTAATACATTATTGGGAATGGCTCTGATTTTATGCCACAGGATGTCATGAAGCAGTTAACGGACTCCGGGAGCCCCTGGAAAGGGAGGAGAGGAGCTGTCTGTTTTGCTCCCAGATCAATCCATAACTGGCACAGAAAATATACATAAAGTTACTGTTGAGGGTGAACCGTGGTAACACCAGCTGGCTCATCCTGGCCTTGTCTGTTTATTGCCTGGCTGGGGATTGTCTGGTGATTCCTGCTAGCAATGGAGGCAGTTGCTGAATTGCAGAGGATGAAGCTGCTGCCTCTCTGCCTGTTATCCCGAACTCATGTCAAGATTAAAGTGTGTCTTCCCCTTCATTCTAGTCTGAGTTCAGGATTACAGGATTCTGCCGTTTCACTATTGCACTAGCTGTTCATATAATGGCAGCAAAAAATAATAATTGTTGTTTAAGTGTTGGGGGGATGCTGTTTCTTTACAACAGGTGAGAGAAGGCTTTGGATCCCCCTCAACAACCAAGTAACAGCTGCATATTTATTGCGTAATAAAAAAATCTCTAGAAAGGCCTTTAGCAACTTCTTATGTGGATGATACCAGATCCATATTATTGATGGCAAGAGATTCATGACCTTCTGTTTTTAACACTGCAGAGAAAGGACTTCGTAATATCTTTGTGAAAAACTAGCTCATTACACACATTTGTAAAAGTCAAGAGAAAAATGTAACAAAGGAAGACCTTATCATGTGCACAGGACAGCAAACACTGAGAAATGCTTGGGAGAACATTGCTAAGGTGCTCAGTAATGCCAGACATGAGGAAACAGATATAAGAAGAAGAAGCATTCCTACAGTTTCTGAAGCCATTGAAATACATGATGGTACAAAATCAGACTTTGCCATCAGTAAAAGACCTTCAAAGAAGACCTTAATCATAAAGTTGCATAATGAACTTTTAATCTTGCTGATTACAGTGCCAATTAACTCATACCTTACTACCTACATGCTGGTAGGTCATTAAGGTGAAAGTGAATGTTTGAAATGTAATTATTCCTTTTCCACATCACTTACTTACTTCCTTTCCTTTGTTTTCCCAGCACCGATAGCTGCCGGAACAGGGCCTAATTTCTCACTCTCAGATTTGGAAAGTTCCTCATACTATAGCATGAGCCCAGGAGCAATGAGGAGATCCCTACCAAGCACTTCCTCTACCAGGTAATTTGATCTGTGCATGATATTGGGTTATGGTTCAATCCCCCTGACTACATGGACATTTCAAAATGAGTAATGCTGTCATTTAGTGCTTATGTTGCCTGACATATTCTGCCTGAGATACTGATCCTTTGTAAAAATAAAGTGGCACCCATATACACTCTGGTGCTTTGCAGAGTTATACAATAGATTTTTCTTCTGCTTAGTGTTGATGTAAATAAGGAGCCATTTCTTATCATGCCTGTCAAATGACTGATCCACTTTAGCTGAAAGAAAAAAATCAATCTGGATCATTAATATCATTCAAAATGGCAACAGGCTTTGGGCGTACTTGTAAATCCAATCTCATGGATGCTTAAGAAAAGGACCACAGTATGAAATAAAAAATATCCTTGCTGCAAATTAGCATCTAAGCCTCAAAATCAAGACTTATAGGAACCCAGACTAAAAAAATCACCTGCTTGGTTAAGTCACTAAATTCCTAAAGCTGTATCTGTAAGTTGATTTCTAAAGGGCAATTCCTCAAACTTGCATTGGTCTCTCTGTTAATGTCCTTACTGATTTATCTGGATCCTGCTGTTCAATCTCCTTTCTTGCAACGTAATGCAACCTGTTGTCTAAGAAGTAATATATCTTTACAGTTTGTTTGTTTGTTTGTTTGTTTGTTTGTTTATTATTTGTATGTCAGTTTGTTTGTTTGTTTGTTTGTTTGTTTGTTTATTATTTATACCATGCCTTTATCCCTGACAGGGACTTAAGGTGGCCTACAGATTTTTTTTAAAGCTAAAAATGTAGAAAAAAATAAACATTGATAGAATTATAACTATGTCTGTCTGTCTGTCTGTCTATCTGTCTGTCTATCTGTCTATCTATCTATCCATCCATCCATCCTTCCATCTATGCACACACACATATACTAAACATCAATTAAAACCATACAAGTAGTTACAATAAAAACAGTTCAGCACCAGCCCTTTCATTAAAAGTAGAATCACAGACTTGTAGAGTTGGAAGATACCACTAGGGTCATCTAGTCCGACCCCCTGCAATACAGGAATCTTTCACCGAATATGGCTCTCAAACCCACAGTCCTAAAATTAGAAGTCTTATGCTCTACTAACTGAGCTATCCCTCAGGTCCAGTCAGTTTCCCCAAACAATGTTAGAACAAATATCCTTTTTAAATTATGGTGCCCAGAACTGGGGACAGTATTCCAGGCGTGGTCTGATCAAGGCAACATACAGCGGGACACTATACTTTTGTTGATGCAGTCTAGAATAGCATTTGCTTTTTGTTGTCGTTGTTGCATCACACTGTTGACTCATGTTAAGCTTGTGGTCTATCATGACATCTATATACCTTTTTCACATGTACTACTGGTAAGCCAGATGTCCCCCATCTTGTATTGGTGCAACTAGTTCTTCCCGCGTAAGTGTAGTACCTCAAATTTATCCCTGTTGAAATTCATTTTGTTAGTCTTGGCCCAGTTCTCCAATCTGTTAAAGTATTATTGAATCCCAAATCTTCAGCAGCATTGGCTTCCTATCCCAATCTGGTGTCATCTGCATGTTGGATCCTAATAATCAGAGTATCTTTTTCTAAGCACTCACAGACTGATCATTAATTATATTTTCTAGTACCAGTTTACTTCAGAAGGGTCCGCTTCCTGCAATAACCAAACATTATGCTGTGCTATTACTTATAATAGTTCTCCAGGGCTCAGATAGTGGAGTGACATTCCACGTGATAATGTTACATGGTTTGTCAACGAAAGTCATGACTACTCTGTTGGGCTCATTTTTGTACATAAAAAAGAATGATAGAAGTCCAACAGATCCCTTGAATAGGTTTGTAACCAAACGGCTGTCTGCTATGCATTTGCATGGCCTTCTCAGTTCCATTAGACGTGTTCTCACCCAACCAGCCACTTGAGCAGTTGTTCACAAACTGAGTATTCCTGGATTAGACCCAATTTAATTTAAATGTGCTAATAGCAGTGTGATTGATGCTTGAAACACAACAGTGCAGAGGCAGTTTCATGGAGTTAGCTTTTTGTTGGAGGCAATTTCCCGTACAACTTTGGTAATTTCAACAATGCCAGTACAAATTCTGCACCTTGCATGATCTGGGCCAGCTCTCCATTAGACCTTGGCCAGCTCTTTCCTTCAGAACCTTAGCAAACATGTCTCTCTTTACCATGGTTCTTGCCACTTTTGATCATTTCCTTCGAAGATATTACTTCACTGTTAGGTAATGTGTGCAAGCTGATAAAGTATATTAAATACACATGTGCTTATATAGTTATTCACATAGGTTACTCTGGCTTACTGCATCTTCCCACTATGTGTTACACTCAGCAGAGATCAGCATGTGGATTGTTTACACATGACAGAGCACCCAGTTGCTCCTACACGGAATTGATATGTAAAATAATGTCGTGTAAAGTAGCCTTGGTTCTGCTCAGCTGCAGTCAGATTTTTAAAAATATATTGACACCTGAAGGTAATATGAAGAGTTTGTGCTTACTTTCTACAAATACACCTCTGTATGGTTAATAACTTGCGATGACTAAGAGAATATACTATTTACTTAGTCAAAATTCTGAAAGTTGGCAAATAAACTAATTATTATATAGCAGTAATCAGCATATTTATTTGCAAATTTGGCATTTTTGTGAATGCACTGGGCAATTATCATTCATTTATCAGGCTATACTTATTTCCATTACAGGAATAGACAGGTTATTAATGGTACTTAAAAGTAAAACTCAGTTGTCACTCTTGTATGCTTCTACAAATACCTTACACAGATAAGAAGCTAATTATAAACAACACCAGTAGTTAATAACTGCACAATATATTTGGGTTTTTCTCTCACATAGGTTACTTCTCTTTAAATGTCTTACCACTTACAGCTTTGCTATTTACAGCTAAACATTTTTATATGAAAGTATGTTCTGATTGATTTTGCTAATATTTACTTGTAAGTACATAAGCTTAAGACTGTAGTGCTGGGGAGATTATCAAGGCAAGGACCGTGTTGTAGGCAAAAATGTATTGTGTCGACATTTAAAATGCCTTGATCAGGTTCCACCATTATTTATTTATTGATTTATTGCATTCCTGGACTATGGGCAGAATATTAAGAATCTTGATTTTAATGTTTTGAAAAATAAGTGTCTGGCCCTCAAGAGCTTAGTTTATTGCATTTGGGAGTAATGATAAATTGTTAGTTCCAAAGCAGTGGGGAACCTTGTTGGCTCCATGGGCCAGATCCTTATCATGAGTCAAATTTAGCAAGTGGGTAGGGCCCCCTACGTGTCAGTCACCTGGCATCACAATGACATCAGATGATTCAGTGCTATGAAGTCTCAAGGAAGCAGTTTCCAACCTGCTTAGGGCTGGGTTTGGGAACTCTCCCATGTACCCAAATTGAGCAGGATTGACCCCTCCCCCACTCTCCTGCACCTCAGCTGTTCATAGCAGTGTGAACAAACCCTTTGCAAGGCTTATTCTTCCCTCCTTCTCTGGCATGGTGACCAGGAACAGATTGGTAGCAACCACACATTTTCAGGTTTGGATAATCTAAAATTAATAGAAAAGTGTCTTATTGCCCCCGCTCATCCATAGTGGATGGAGACAGGGCATGTGTGAGCGTGAGGCATGCATTAATTCATTCCCATCACAATAACCCATGGTTTATGATCCCATCCAGACACAGCCACTGTAGCTACTTTTCTTCATACATGGATAGACTTCCATGGGTATCAGTAAACAAAGGGTCTAAAATAGGAGGCACAATGAAGAGGCAAACTTTATTCTCAGATACAAGTTCTAGTATCTTCTGATACCACAGAGATCTTGCTTCAAACGTCAAATAAGAAAATCCTTACTGTGGCAAAATCCAAGAAGACTCAGTGTGAATTATCTCTATAAAGACTTCCGCCTGAGAGGAATTATGGCAGTTTATTACCACCACCACCCAAATGCAATAGATCTCTGATACAGAAAACAGCCTTCTCTGGCTCACTGAATAGGACGTTTAGTCAGGTAGCTTACCCTTGGGAGTTTCTGCTTCCTTTGTACATAGAAATGTGCAATAGACTCTATAAAGCTGACAATAGATGTAATATCTGCTGACCCTGTCTTGGAAAGTGAATTCAATAGGACATTTTTCCTCCCAGCCGCAGTCTGTTCCTCATACTATAGCTCAAGAAGCCGAGGGCTCCTGGCTCTGCAATTCCCCACATTACTCTGCCAGAGTCCGAGTCGACTGACCTTCAGAGCTCAGCATAAGGGTTATCTTTCCTTTCAGGCTTTGCTTGAATGTTACATGAGGGAGGAATGTATGTGGCAAGTGATGAGTAACAGTCTTTCTGCGTTTCACCTCTGCATCGCTCAAGTTAAAAATCTTTTTGGCTTATGAAGTGAATTCGGAATTGCTGAGAGAGAGAGAGAGAGAGAGAGAGAGAGAGAGAGAGAGAGAGAGAGAGAATAATCTCCAAGCAATGATTTCCTTGCCTAGCCACACTATTTAGCAAAATCCTCAAAGCACTTTTCTGGCTCCCCAAAGAAGCTGCCTTTATGTCAAATTTGTTCTCTCAATCTTTTCCTCATTTCCCACAGAATTTGCTTTGCTTATCCAGTTCTATTCTGTGATGGTTTGTTAATGTGAAAGAGAGGGAGAACTTTAAAACCTTACTCATAATGATCACGTAATGACTTTGTTCCACGTAAAAGACCAGTCCATGTTAAAATGGAATGGAAAATCTTACTTGTAGCAACATCTTACTTGTAGCTGCTGCTGCTGCTGTAATTGTAGTAGTTCCTGCTGTTATAGTTGTTGTAGTTATAGTTGTTGCATAGACTAACAGTAACCTCATAAGTGGATCCTTACGTACTGAAATTCACACCAGCAACAGACAAGAGGGAAGTGCCAGCAGACTCAAGGCATTTTTGGGCCGGGGCTACATACCGGTAGTTCAATGAGGACTGAGCTTGCTATGGGCAGCTTAACTGACTTTGGGGCAGACAGGAATGGAAACGAGGCTAGAGGAGTGGGAAAGAAATGAAATGGGGTGAAGAGGAAATAGCTGGCTGGCTGGAACCCTAAAGGAGAACACTCCAACCTGCAACACTTTGTGCATGGTGTTTTTACAGAGTTGCTATGAAATTAAACTTCTTCATGGAATAAATGTCAGAACAATTCTCCTTCTCCCACACCACTGAAGCTTTGTAAAAATGAAAATGGGGCCACCGTGCAAACAAGTTATTGCTAAAGCTGAATTCTTAAGAAGGATGGAAATGGTTGGACTATGCAACCTGCTCTAAAATATTTCACCTTTGCAGCTGGAAGTCACATAAGCAGAGTTCAGGCAACCCGCCTCCTGCACCCTGTGGCCACATCCTCCTCCATCCTCTCGTGAGGAGTTCTATGTACATACCAACATACATACATACATACATACATACAGTTCCTCTATGCAAGAGGAGATCTTGAGGCAATCAGGATCCCCACCTTACATGGATGAGCTCCACTGGCATGTACATGCATAGTGTCCCGTTTCACACACTGAGTATCTGTACTGTTGGCCTTTACAGATTGAATACTATGTCTGAACACCCTGTTCACTTAGGCTCTGGTGTGACAAACTATAGGGAAACACTCTTGCACATATACGCCCACATGCTTAAGCTCTCATCCTCTTACATTTCTTTGTCCGCCGTCTCCAAAATAAATATGATGGATTATGGACTAGACTGTAGAGGAAGTGGGATTGTTGGCCTGGAGTTTCCGCATGCCACCAAAAGGCAAACGGAACTGAAAACACCAGCAAGTCTTCAGCCAGTATACCGTACCTTCTCTCCCAGGCCTCTACAGGCCTCTGAACACATCCTGCTATTAGAAAGCAGGAGTTGACTTTAGTTCCAAAACACAGGACTGGAAGGGTGAAGCAAAGAACTCAAGGGAGACAGAAGATTAACAGGGCAGAAGAAGCAGAGTAGTTGCCATCACCTCTGCTTCAGAGCAAGGAAGTTCTCCAGAGCTGCAACTCTAAAATGCAGCCTGACATTTTGTCTCACTTTAGTTCTTGCATTAATGTCTCTCTCTGTGTGTGTTTCCTTCAATTCCAGCTCTACAAAGCGCCTCAAATCTGTAGAGGATGAAATGGACAGTCCTGGTGAAGAGCCATTTTATACAAGCCAAGGGCGGTCTCCAGGAAGTGGTAGCCAGTCAAGTGGATGGCATGAAGTGGAGCCAGGTAAATAGAGTCACTCAGGTGGCTTTTTAGGATTTCAAAGCTATCTTCCATGTATGTATTTATTTAAAAATTATTAGACTGCATTTCAGATTTAATGTACGAGGTAGTGTGTGTGAGATTACAGAAGTTGAGTGCTTCTGCAGCTGTAAATGTTTTGATAATATTCATTCCAGTATTTTAGGCAAGCATTTGTAGTGTTGCATTATGGTTTCCGTGACTCTCAAGGCTTCTTTATTCCAAAATATTACTGAGAATTAGGTTGGCTTGCCCCCAAAGAGTGGCATCCTGCAATTTATATTATGTTGTAAAATGACAGGTGGGAGACCCTTTCAAACTATTGTTAACGTGAATTGATTTTATTCTGTAATGGCTTTTTAATGGCATTGCAGGAGAGGTTGCTTTGTCGATTTAAATGTTGGAAAGTTTGAATGAAGTCTTTCTACGTACCATTGATACTGTTGTTCCACTTCTGGATTTGTTAGTTACTTTTCAAGTCATCCTTTTGGCTTAACTTTTCTTGTATCTCCTGCTACATAAATATCTTACCACTTGTCACAAAATCTTTTGCCTCTTAAAGGAAATTATATTATTACTTTTTAAAGTATAATTGCAGCTTATGGACAAAAGGCCCCTTGATTTTTGTTCTAAGTGATTCTTTTGTTATTGTTATTTCTAATTTGCACACAATTCTGAAATAAAGATGTTGATTTTGAATTTGTGAGCAAGCAAGCTAAAAGACAGTCATTCTAATAAATACTTGTCAAAGCAGTCCATTGTATTAAACCAGGGCTTGCTAATATGGTATCCATGGGTGCATGTGCAGCCACAGAGACCTTCCTTTGTGCCCGCAGAGTCCCCTCCCCAACTGAAATTAGACTCGGGAGAAGTATTCTGTTGTAGCCAGTAGGCTAGGTAGCATTGTGTTCTTGATTGTGGTGTGTGTATGTGGTGTCCACAACAGTTTCTGCTGTTTGTAAATATGCCAATGGACTCACAAATATTGGTGATCCCATTATCACTTCTGGTGCTACTCCATTCTCATGAAGCAGTTGCAATCTCTTAGGCCAACAATACGGAGAGAACTAAAGAACTTAGATCTTGCCATGTATTGTGGCAAGGTCTAAGTTCTTAAATTGCTGTTACCCTCTCTGAAAACATGGGGTGAAGGGTGGGTAATTCAAATATTACTAGTAGTAGTAGTAATAAAAATAATAATAATGTGTTAATAGTAAAAGATGGAGGGAATGAAAGGATGAGTGGTTGGGCTTAAGGAAGAGCACTGTTGTTTAGAAGAATAGGAAGGAATACTATACAGTGGTACCTTGGGTTAAGAACTTAATTCGTTCCGGAGGTCCATTCTTAACCTGAAACTGTTCTTAACCTGAAGCACCACTTTAGCTAATGGGGCCTCCCGCTGCCGCCGCGCTGCCGGAGCTCAATTTCTGTTCTCATCCTGAAGCAAAGTTCTTAACCCGAGGTACTATTTCTGGGTTAGCGGAGTCTGTAACCTGAAACGTCTGTAACCTGAAGCGTATGTAACCTGAGGTACCACTGTAGTGCCTTTGTTTCATAATGCAGGGAGGAAAGAAAAGAATAAGGTGAAATGGGGTGCCGGAAGAAAGTGACTTGGCAAATTTCTAGTCATGAAAGTGGGGTTGCTGAAAAAGGGATAAAAGAAGGGAAGAGCTCATGATACAAAAGAGTATCAGAAGTTTTAGCATGTAGAGATGGTAGGATGCATTCTAGAAGAGTGATGAAATCTAAACTAACTGCTCAGTTTGGCAAAAATGATTTAGCAGAAGTCATCCAGCCCCCATCCTCACTTTGGCAAAAGCAATGTAAGACATTTACAGCTGTTTTCTTGGGCAGGCAGAGTTCACAGGTATGAAAAAGTTTCCACTTACTTTAACAAAACCATATAAAATATTGGATAAGCTAAAGTGCTTTCCCAGTTTCTCTTAGAAAGGAAGTTAAAAATCCCATTCATTCTCAGGCAGCCTGCTTTTCACCAAGTCATATATGTCTTAAGATTATTTCAGTTTCATATTCTAGGCTGGAATGGGGAACTTCTGGATACTGTTGAACTCCCCAGCCAACATGACCAATGGTTTGGGATGATGGAAACTGCATTCTAGGGGAAACTCCCATAGGTGTTGCTTATGGGTGGTGGAGGTAGCCCGGACCTTAGGGGCTGTACAGGCACACCGGCAGACCCAACCTCGCATTTCCACTGGTTTGCCCACATAGCCCTGATTTCCACCACCTAGCCTCATTGGTTTCCTTTCCTATAAATGGCAGACATGCTACTGCCAGGAAGCTAGTATTCTGGCTCTGATCCAATGGCCAACATACTTATATTCAAGGCTACCTCAAAACCACAGAGCTGTAACCTGTAGCAAATACGGTACATGCATAATATTGGAGAAATTATGTAGATGGCACCATGCTGAGAAGATCAACATGACTACCAGCAATTCCTGTTCATGTATCTACACATTCAGCCCCTATCTCCATGTCACATGCAGTAACACTGTTAGAATCAAAGTTTCACACTCCAATCACTGCATTTTTCTCTGCTGAAGCATTATGCATCTGCAAAATGCCCATAAGGAAGGGTTCTGCCCTATGGTTACTGCTACATCTGATGCAATTTTTTGCAAACAAGTGTGTCTTGCCTTATTTGTAGTTTGGGCAAGATAGACCAAGCAAAACACAGCATTAAATCCTTGCTCCTAATACTGTACTCATGGAGACTCACATCCATTTACCCGCACTCCAGTGTGCTTGGGGAGCTCTCAGGCCTAAAAAGGCTGGAGTCTGCCAGAAAAGATGAATTTCCTTTCACCACAGGAAGACACAGGGAAGTAAAACAAAGCAGACACGTAGTAAATTATTCCTGCTTTTCAAATACCACTTGCGGTATCCTCCTTACCATTACTTTATCTCAGCACTTTCATCACATAACTCTTGCTAACGGAGAACGAAGGAAAGAGGAGATAATGAGGATACTTGGTAAGGAAATCAAGCGGCGTCAGGCTTGAGTTTGTACTATGGTGCAATTCCGCATAGGCTCCATTTTTAAACTAGTATAAACTGTTATACAGCCATAAATACACCTAAAAGCTCTTGGCTTCGGGATTTTGTTTTATTTTAATCTGCCATGATCAAATGCACTCCGTGAAGCTGAATGATATAAAACATTCTGCTTTCCCCTTTCCTTTTCTTTCTCTCTCTCTTTCTCTTTCCAACTACATTCTGTAATCCAACACAGATGTGATGTCCTTTTTAACTTATGTGGCCCTTTTGAAGGCTGACATATACTGTAAGGTACTGGCTTCTCCTTTAGATATCTTTAAATTGATATATAGGTCAAACGGGCTGCTAGATATTTAACCTTAGAATTAATAATCTTCTCTCACTATTTCTCACCACAGATTAATATTTTTGTGAGGCTTTAAGCCCACAAAATAGTGAGCTGACAGTGCTGATTAAAATTACGTTTTTTTTAAAAAATATATATATATATTTTTAAAACCCTTTGTTATTTGATAGCAGCACAAGGGTATAACTGGTTGAGTTACCTGGCCTCCCACTCTCTTAACATTTCCCCCCAGTTTATTTTTGAATTTCAAGCTTTGAACCTGATGGGAAGAAAGTTGTTTTAAATTCTGTTAGGCTCTGGTCCCCAGATGAGCAGCAGTGGATATAAAAGAGACTGTGATACAAGGCTCATGAAACTGGGATGGAATTCCAAAGATGAAATAAGAATTCATGATAGATACCCATTGCGTGTCGAGGTCCCCAAGCCACCCCCCAAAATAAAGCACAATTCACACAGAATTTTTGTTTAAAGTTTTTGGCATAATTTTGGCCACAACTTTATTAAAATACATAAATGTGAGTGGTTGCTTAGGCACTGGTTACAACTATCTGACCCCGCCCAGGGACAGAACTGACTTCTGCAACCCTGCGAAAGCCAGTAAGGGAAAACATTTTGGGGAGAAAATGGAGCTGGGCACCAGACCCTCACCTCTCCCCACATGCTCCCAGGGGCTTGCGCTGCCCAAGCCCCACACCAGGGATTCGGACGAAAGCATGGCGAGCCCCTGGATTCCTTTAACGGAATTCCCTTGCAGCAGCAGCATTGGAGGGGCAGGCACAGCCAACCCTTACCCCTCCACCAACCAATTTTTTAACCAATGCCAAACACAACCTTACAAGTTGTGACAATTTGCTATGCAGTAGGGAAAAACCAAATGGTACCAGCCAATCAGCCAAATGGACAAAATTCTTACCAGGCCCCTGCCCCAAAAGCAGATGACCCCATGACAGGCATATTAAGGTCAAATACAAAAGCCCTAAATTAGGGAGGGTGGGCAGGTGATCCGGTGCACACAGCGAAAGAGAATGCTCAATGCTGTGTGCTCAGTATATAAAACCCTTGGTCCATCCCACAAATTGGCAACATCAAAATTTCCCCAACAACCCAACATAGCCCAATCACAAGCTTGGCCATCTAAATGGTCCCACCCAGCTAGACCCCACTGCAACACGTGCTCTCCATGAAGGAGAACACGCTTTATCAAATGTGTTGTTCTGGATTGTTTGTCCTTTCTTTTCCTCAAACTGTCTTACACATTTCTCACACCACTGTAATAATCACATATTCTGCACTTGGTGGCAGGGAAGGAGGAGAAGAGAAGCTGAACAGGGAAAACATGGGAGGAGCATGTAAAAAGTGAGTGGAAAGCCTAGCTATTCCACAGTAAATGTCCAGTGTGGAGGCAACGTGGATACTTTGCTACTAAACATTTAATGCATTTTCAAGAGCAAGCTCACTAGGACCTTGAGATCACAATGCATTAGTCTCAACTGCTACTACATGAAAGAGGATAGCTGTGTTAGCACTTTAAAGATCTCTTTTTCACACTCTGAGTGATTGGTTTCTTATCTACAATCTCAGAATGCTGCACTGCTATTGGATTTGTCATCAATACAGC